TAAATCTGTATAGTGCTTTTGGTAGCATGGTCATTTTGATAATATTAATTCTGCTTATCCAAGAGCAAGGTAGGTCTTTCCATCTTCTAAGGTCTTCTTTGATTTCTTTCTTTAGGGTTCTATAGTTTTCATTGTATAGATCTTTCACATCTTTCGTTGATTCCCAAGTATCTTATTTTTTTGAGGTCAGTTCTGTGTTCTTAACCTGTTATACTATACCACTTCCTAAACTTTCGTTTCCTTTAGAGATTTTTCCCTCTACAAGACTATACTCAAGTTAGCATGTTTACTTCTTATAATTCCCTTATATTATCACTCCTTGCACATTTTTTTTCCTGTAGCACAGCATATCCATTGAGCCATTTTAATTGTGCTAATTAGTTTTTCATACTGATAAGTAATTATTGAGATATATGATAAATTGCAGATATATTGTTCCATGTTAATTAACATTTTATAATTTTTTTCAGTGTATTCTTTGTAGTTGATCTTTGAACCTTGTTGCTAAAATTCCTTTACTGGGTATTAAAGCATTTTATTTTACAATTATGAATTAATGGCTTAAGTTCACAAAGACTGAATCTTATTAACAAAATAAAGTAATAGGCAGTATATTTCAGGTGTTGAGAGAGAATTTGAAGTAATTATTAAGAGCAGGGTAGTTTGGGACTCTTGAAGGAGGAGGAAGGACCCCTCTGGAGTGATATACAGATACACACACCATTAGTGGGAGGAAATTTTTAGGGGTTTCTGTAGATCAGGAGTTTCCAAAGTATAGCCTGTTTCTGTACTGTTCATGAACTGAGAATGGTTTTTACATTTTAAAAGGGTTGTAACAATAGCTGGGCATGGTGATATACACTTTTATCCCAGCAACCCATGAGGCTAAGGGAGGAGGAGTAAAAGTTGGAGGCTAGCCTCAGCAACTTGGCAAAACCCTGTCTCAAAACATAAAGGACTAATGGTGTAAGTCAGTGGTAAAGTGTTCTGGTTCGATCCCCAGCCTATCAAAAAAAAAAAAAAGTTAAGAATATGGAACAGAGATGGTATGTGGCCCACAAAGCCTACAATGCTATCTGGTACTTTACAAAAACTGTGCTGACCTTTGCTCTCTAGATCATAGAAATGTATAGGTCTGAAAGAGATTTGAATTCATCAGATGAATGAGTCAGGAAACTTGGTGTAAAGATGTTAATCCAACTCTGGCATTTTACAGATGAGTTAGTGAATGGCTTGTTTTTCTTTAACAAGGTATGAATGAAAACCATGGGAGTATTTATAACAGGGTTGTGTGGTTAACCGGTTCACTGATTTATGAAGCCCCATGTCTTTCTGTCTCTCTCTCCCCTCCCCCTCCCCCTTTTCTCTGGTACCAGGGATTGAACCCAGGGGCACTTAACTACTGAGCCACATCCCCAGCCTGTTCTCTATTTTTTAAAATTTTTTTTTAATTTTGAGACAGGGTCTCACTAATTTGCTGAGGCTGACTTTGAACTCTTGAGTCTTCTTGCCTCAACCTTCTGAGCTGATAGGATTACAGGTGTGTGCCACCACAACCTGCTGAAGCCCCTACTCTCAATACTGACAATTTATATTGGGGCTTTGTTTCTTTAGTGCTTATTAATTATTTATTTTGATGATATCTGTTGAAGAGAGGGTCCAGGACTAGAATGAGACTGATAGACCTATTTATATACTGTTCAGGATTTCTTTATTTGGAGCAATGCAGCAATTTATAAGGCTAAAAATATAAATCAAGTTAAACATTAAACTAAATATGAGTTACTGATTTTTAATAAAGAGTTTTGTTTTTCTTGCTGCCCATTTTACTCTGTACACACAGATAAGGGTCTATTATAAAGCTTTGATATAGCCTTTCTGATTTGTGATGCTTTAAGAATTTTCTGACTTTTCTATTTGTGCAATGGTTTTCAAATTTTGTTTACATTTTGGACAGTTTTTATTTACATTAATTTTCAAAATTGGCTCAAATATGGAAATTGATTCAAATCTAGTTGGTCTGTCCAGCCGATTTAGATTCAAGTGACATTCATTGAGTTCCCTTTTAATGTACATTTCATTTTAAAATGATAGCAGATATTTCTATAGCATTATTATTAGCTGTGTATGTTGCTAATAATTACTTTCTGTTTTCATTATCACAGCAGCCCTGTGAGGCAGGCATGGTTTTATCCTCCATTGTGCAAATTAGACAAAAAAAAAAAAAAAATCTCTGAAACAGTGTGGTTTATTAACTTGACCAAGATCACTCAGTTAACAGAGATAGAAATTTGGATCTTCACAGTCTGTCTGCGGATGCTATGCTATTAAATACTACAGTGTTATGTTAGGCTTATGGTAGTATAAATAAAAAGAACTAAACCACAAAGAAGCTGTTGAAATCATAGTTTTCTTATGTTTGGATGGCATTCTCTCTATATTATGTGTCAAGTTTAATCATGTTATAATTATGTATCATGATTATATCATTGTATCATTGTGTCAGCTGCTTCTGCAGTAACTTTGTTTGGACTTTCAAGAATAGTGATGTAATTTAACCAACTTGTATTTTTTATGCAGACTTGTAAAAAAGGCAAAAAGGGCCCAGGAGAAAAGGGCAAAAGTGGAAATGGAGGAGGAAAACCTCCTTCTGGTCCAAACCGAATGAATGGTCATCACCAACAGAATGGAGTGGAAAACATGATGTTGTTTGAAGTTGTTAAAATGGGCAAGAGTGCTATGCAGGTATATTTACAGAGTTCTTATTAGTTTATTTGTATATTCTAAACTTTAATGACTTATAAATAATAAGTATATTTCTGTGTTTTCTATTTGTGTTTTTAAAAATATACTACTTATTAGAAAAAAAACAGCACTAGTCAAAACTCGATGAATGTCTGTATTATATAAGAACTTTAAGTTGTGTTTTGAGTCATTTTCTGCTGCTCTGTTTTAATGGTATAAGGTAAAATATTATTTGGTTGAAAAATATGTTGATGTAAATCCTGGCTATGAGGATTCAATTTACCCTGAATTTATATAGCTATCATTAAAATATTAAGTCTTCTGTTCATTAGAATTCTTGGTTGAATGATCTACTATGATCACTGGTCACTTTAGTGAATTGAATTATTTTGGTCACTGTTGTTCATTACAGATTTTATTACTTTTGCTTATTTCTTAGCTGAAGAGTAGTTGGAAGAATATCTATGGCAAATTATCCTAATTATATTTCTTCTGCATAATTTTAGACAGTGAAAGCATTTAGGCTTTACAATGTTGGTCAAACCTATAAAGTTTTTTTAAAAAAATACTAAATACTAAAGGAATACATGTGATTTTTAAAATCTCTTTTGAGATGGAGTCTTGCTGTGTTGCCCAAGCTAGTGTTGAACTTGTGGGTGCAAGTTATCCTCCCGTATTAGCCTCTTGTGTATCTGACTCTGTAGGCATGTGCCACTGTGCCTGACCTTTAATATACATACTTAATAAAGTTTCATTTAATTTATAGAAGCTATAGGGAATAGTTTTTCTTCTTAAAAGTAACAATAGGTATACAAGAATGATCTTCTGAGAACTAAGTCATTTAGACTTTTTGTTATTGATAACTGAAGTGCAAAACTTTTTAATAAATATGTAATTATGTAGATATATGGTTTATTTATTTATTTATTTTTTTCTTATTTTTAAAACATTTTATATAACTCATAAAACAGTGCTTGTATAAAAATTCACACAATATGGTTTATTTAAATAAAATTTAAATCAATTGGGACTAATAGAAACAATTTTACATGTAAAATATAAAAATACTCAGTTATTAGCTTTTTGAGCTTTCACCAGTTTTATAGAGGGAGGAACTTAATAGGTTTCAAATTCATTTACATCATTCTAATTGATCTTCATTTATCCATCTGCTAAAATTTTCTTTTCTATAGTTGGGATTAGGGTGTGGATTTTCCCTTATTTTTTTAAATGATTGTTTTGAATACATGTTTGGCTTTTTCTGTATGTGTGTTGGGGATGGAACAAGGGACACATGCACATTTACCTTTTATTTATTTTTAAATAATATTTTTAGTTATAGATGGTCACAATACCTTTATTTTATTTTATTTATGTATTTGTTTGTGGTGCTGAGGATTGAACCCAGTGCCTCACACATGCTAGGCAAGTGCTCTACCACTGAGCTACAGCCTCAGCCCTTACTTTTATTTTTGTTATGCCTTTTCTCTGTAGTTTTTTATTCTAAATATTTTAAGTGTATTTATCTTTTTTATGGTACCTTTTGTTTTTGTTAACATCAGTGATTTTAGTTCGTTTATGCTGGTGTAAAAAAGTAACATAAACTGGATGACATTTAAAAACCAGAAATGGATTTCTCACAGTTGTGTAAGCTGGGAAGTACAGAATCAAGTTGCTAGTGTATTTCAGTATCTGGTGAAGGCTCACTCTCTGGTTCATAAACTCCTCTCATTGAATCCTGACATGGTAGAAGTGGGCAAGAAAGTTCTCTGGGGCTGCATTTTGTAATGACATTAATTTCATTCAGAACCCTTGTGACACAATCAACTTCCAAAAGCCCCACTTTGTAGTATTATTACATTAATGATTAGGGTTCAACACATGAAGTTTGGGGTGGGGGTACATATCACTAGAAATTTTAACTTATAGCCACAGCTAATTAAGTTTTCTCATTTTGTCTAAACTATAGGGTTTTTGTTGAACTTTTTGGTCCATTAAAATTTTTAATTTTTTAGTGAAGGTTTACACTCATTATTTAATTCTTTTTGTTAATGGTATCTTAGTATTTAAAGAATGAACATTTTGGGGCTGGGGTGATGGCTCAGTGGTAGAGCACTTGTCTCGTATGCACGAGGCACTGCATTAGATCCTCAATACCACATACATAAAATAAAGGTATTGTGCCCATCTACAACTTAAAAAAATGAACATTTTCCATAGTTCTGTGTTGCTTATAGTTTGTTCTTTATTTAGATTGAACCTTTATATAATCCATTGTTCTGTTTTTGTCTTACAAAGGAATGCCCGTGTTACCAAGTTTTGACCCAAAACTGGATCCTTTTTTCCCTTCTCAGAATTGTGGAACCAGTAATAAGACCAAGCACTGTTTAAGCAGTGAAGAAAGGTTTATTCTTTGCCAAGAGTATGAGAAGCAGGGACAAAGGCTCACAGATCAGACTCTCAACCTCATGCTGGTGGGGAGGTTATAGATAGATATAGGGTAAATGAAATTGGGGGAGGGGATAAGCTGATAGAGGGTAAAAGTAATTGGAGAAGGGGATAGGCTAATAAAGAGTATGAATATTCATGTATTTCTGGGAATGGGAGATGTTCCAGGAATATGGGCACAAACTCCTTTCATTCCTTTTATAGTTCTTTCCTTTTTTTTTTTTTTTCTGTTTTTTCTTTCTACCAGGGATTAAACCCAGAGGTACTTAACCACTGGATCACATCTCCAGCCCTTTTTGTTTTATAAGATAATTTTGAGACAGGTTCTCGCTAAGTTGCTGAGGCTCACTTTGAACTCTCAAGATCCTCCTGCCTCAGCTTTCCCAGCTATAAGGATTATAGGTGTGTGCAACTGCACCTGACTTTACCTTACATTTCTAAGACCAAATTTGATTGAGGAAGTCTCCTTAGCAACAGGGTTCATCTTTATGCAAAAAATCCAGCCCAGATTTCCTTATGACATAATTTCAATTCTGCAGCCACATTGTGCTCTGCCCCTAGGTGTTTTTGTTGTTTGTTTTCTAGATACATTGAATAGTTTCATTTTCCTCTTCCCATGTCAAATAAGGCTTATTGAATCAAATGTTTCTCTTCTCTTCTAAAAAGTATTCCAAATACTGTTTATTTTCTAAATGTATTGTTTACACTTAGTAGTCCATTATCACACTTAGCCGTTATATTAACTCTTACTGTTCTGTTATAACACTAATCCACATTGTATTATTGTTATGTATAGGTTTTGTTTCTAGGTTTTTAAAAAATATGCATAAGAGTAGAATCCATTTTGACATAATTATACAAGCATGGAATATATATTGTCTAATTCAGAGCCCAGTACCTCTCCTTCCCCTTCCCCTTCCCCACCATTGCTCCCCCTCTATTGATCTTTATGCCTTTCCCCCTTAGTTATTATTTTTTAGAGTTAATTTCAAGTGAATGTGAATAAATACAAGACTGGCTACTGGCTTAAAGATATCTGTTATAAACCTGGTGCAGTGACTTATACCTATAATCCCAGTGACTGCGCTGAGGCAGGAAGATCATAAGTTTGGGCCTTAGAAACTTAGTGAGATCTTGTATATCAAAATGAAAAATACAAAGGGCTGTAGATCTAGCTCAGTGGTAGAGTCCTCTAGTGCTGCCACCCTTTCTTTATTTTAAGAAAGAAGAAACCATGCATATGTTTTTTATTATGCATTATTATTTTATTAGATAATAGATATTATTTTATTAGATAATAGATATTCAATTTTATTGAATAAGTTGTTTGCATATTATTTGATGATTAACAATTTTAACCATTTAATAGTCAATAACCTACATTTATTTTTATTATGGTAGATTTTTATTCCTAATTAAATTAATTTGACCTTCATAAAATATGTGATGAGGTATACGATTTCATTAAATATTTTTGTAGCATTATTGATTAATGTAGCTCTTACTCTTCACTATCTATTGCTATATAACACTACTACAATCTCATTGATGTGCATCAATGACGATTTTATTTGACTTAATGATTCTGTGAGTCTAGAATTCATTCAGAACTGAATAGGAATGACTTGTCTCAGCTCCATGATGGTTGGGCCTTAGTTGGGACAGATTAGTTAAATGCATGGTAGTAACATAAGGACTCTAATCATGTGTGAGTTTCTTTACTAATTTTTGGTGTATAATATGTTTATAATTCCTCGGCTGGGCTCAGCTGGAACTTTATCTGGGGCACCTACAAATCCCTTTCTCTGTAACTTGGATATTTTATAGAATGGCTTCTGGTTTTTGAAAGAATGTCTTGAGAGGTAGTATCTAGTTCACAAATGCTCCCAGAGACCAATGCAGATGCATGGCCCTTTGTGATTTCAATTAGGACACATTGCCTCACTTTGTTCTAGGGAAGAGGACATAGACTTAACATCTTACTGGAGCAATATCAAAGATTTTGGGGCCATAACAGTATATTCTGTTGCTTTTATTGCAGATATCAGTAGGAAATTTTTCTTTTGTAACTTGTATTGTTTAGTATATACAAACTGTTATACAGAAAAGGATTCAAATATAAAAATTAATTGTGTTAGCTTTCTGTTATTGTAACAAATACTTGAGATAATCAGTTTATAAAGAGGAAAGGTGTATTTTGGCTCATTGTTTCAGAGGTTTTAATTCATGGTTATTTGTCCTGTTACCTTTGGACCTATGGCAAGGTAGTACTTTGTGGCAGGGAGTATGTGGTGGAGCAAGCTTGTTCACCTCTTGGTAGCTGAAATGGACCCATGTGCCACAATCCTCTTAGGAGGAATGTCTCCAATAACCTAAAAACCTCCCACTAGGCCCCACCTTTTAAAAGTTTCTATGATCTTCCGGTAGTGCAGCACTGAGGACTAACTATTTTCCCATGGGTGTTTGTAGGACATTCCAAACTATATAGCGTGAATGAAATATATATATTTTTTAGTTTAAAAAATTCTTTTTAGTTGTAGATGGACACAATACTTTATTTTATTTACTTTTATGTGGTGTGGAGGACTGAACCCAGGGCCTCACACGTGCTAGGCAAACGCTCTACCATTGAGCCACAACTCTAGCCAGCATGAATGAAATGTTTTAAAGTGTAGATTCAGTGGTTTTTAGTACATTCACAGAATTGTGCAGCTACCATCACAATCTAATTTTAGAACATTTTCGCCATCCTAGATTCTCATGACCTTTAGCAGTCATTTCCCCTTTTCTAGGACTAGGCCACTGTTAATTACTTTTCTGTATTTTTGTCTATTCTGGACATTTCATATAAATGGGTTCATACAATTTGTGGTTCCTTATGAGTTATTTCTTTGATCTAGCATAATACTAACCAGGTTTGTTCATGTGGTGTCTATTATTACTTAATTCCTTTTGGTCAAACTATTATATTTTATAGATATACCATGTTTTATTCATCCCTGGAAACACATTTGGGCTGTTTCCACTTTTTTGGCTTTTTTGAATAATGCTGCACAAATGTTTGTTTGGACATATGTTTTCATTCCTCACTGGTAATATATACCTGGGAGTCAAATTGCAGTGTCATGTGGTAATACTATATTTAACTTTTTGAGGATCTGCCAATTTTTCCAAAGTGGCTGTACCATTTTTCTTCTACCAGCAGTGTTCAAGTGTTCCATTTATTTATATTTTGCTAATATGTGGGGTTTTTTTTTTGGTTTTGGACTGTGTGTGTGTGTGTGTGTGTGTGTGTGTGTGTGTGTGTGTTGTGTGGTGTGGTGCGGTGCTGGAGAATACTAGGCCTTGTACACATGTTAGTCAAGAACTTTACCACTGAGTTACATCCCCTGCCCACCAATGCTAGTTATTTTTTATTTTTTCTGTTATCATTATAACCATCCTAGTGGATCCTACTGGTTGTGAAGTGGTGTCTCATTGTGTGTGTGTGTGTGTGGGGGGGGTTGTTTTATTTTGTTGTTTTCTGTGAACCCAGGACTTCAATGCATGTTGGGTAAGATCCCTACCACTGAGTCACATACCCAGTCCCTCACTGTGATTTTTATTTGCATTTCCTTGGTGGCTAATGATGTTGAGTATCTTTCGATATGTTTTATTGGCTATTCCTCTATTTTTATAGAACTAGCGATTTAGATCCTTTGGTTATGTGTGTGTGTCAATAAATTTTTTTGTGTTACAGGGAATTAAACCCAGGAGCAGTTAACTGTTACACCCCCTAGCCCTTTTTTATTTTTTAATTTGAGAAAGGGTCTCATTAAATTGTTGAGACTGGCCTTGAACTTGGATCTCCCTGCTTCAGCCTCCCAGTAGCTTAAATGATAGGTGTGTGCCACCACACCTGGCTCTTTGCTTATGTTTTAAGTTTTCAATTGGGTTGTTGGGCTTTTTAAACTTTTTTATTTTTTTGTGCTATGGATTAAACCCCGGTCTCATGTATGCTGAGCATTTTGCTCTACCACAGAGATATATCCCTAGTGTGACTTTTTAGAACTTATTGAGTTGTAAGAGTTCTTTTATATTCTGTATACAGATCCCTTATCAGATATATGACTTACAAATATTTTCTCATGTTCTATGGATTATCTTTTCATTTTCTTCATAGAATGCTTTGAAACACAGAAGGTTTTAATTTTGAATAAGTTGAATTTATTTTTTTCTTTGATTGCTTTGTGCTTTTTTGGTTTAGTGCTTGAGAAGGCTTTTCTAAATGTAACATGAAAATTTGCTTTTATTTTTCTCTAACAGTTTTAGCTTTTATATTTAGGTTTTTGATCCATATGAATTAAGTTCTGTGTGTATGGTGTGAGGTAGGATCCCATTTCATTCATTCTTTTGCATAATCATATCCAGTCATCTCAATACCATTTGTTATTAATATTTTCTGTTGAATTGTCTTAGCACCCTTTTTGAAAATCAAATAGCCATCATATAAAGATCTGTATCTGGCCAGGTGTGTTGGTGCACGCCTGTAATCCCAGAGGCTCTGGAGTCTGAGGCAAGAGGATTGAGAGTTCAAAACCAGCATCAGCAAAAACGAGATGCTAAGCAACTCAGTGAGACTCTGTCTTTAAATAAAATATAAAATAGGGCTAGGGATGTGACTCACTGGTGGAGTGCCCCTGAGTTCTATCCCTGGTACCCCCCCCCCAAAAATGCTGGACTCTAAATAAATTTTATTATGTTAAACTAAATTTCTATACTACTAAATTTTTATACTACTACTTCTATACTACTAAATTTCAGTACTACTACATTCATTGTCTTACTATAGCTTTGTAAATAAGTTTTAAAATTATGAAATGTAAGTCTTTTGGATTTCTCCTTTTTAAAGATTGATTTGGCTATTCAAGTTCCATCTCCTTACCATGATAATTTTAGTATCATCTTTTTAATATTTACAAATAAGTCAGCTGGGAGAGACACATATATACACACATATGCACATAGACATTCATGCATTTGTATGTGTGTATATATACCTATTAATTAAAGTTATCTAATACTACAAAAAGCTGAATTTTATTACTTTCATGAGATTTTATTCTTAAATCATTAGAAAAAGCTAATTTATTTTTATTTTTTCCCTTCTCTTTTAGTCGGTGGTAGATGATTGGATAGAATCATATAAGCACGACCGAGATATAGCACTTCTTGACCTTATCAACTTTTTTATTCAGTGTTCAGGCTGTAAAGGTAAGGTACATTTATTTTGGAAGTAGAATCTCTACTTGTTATACCTAAAGGGATGTTAGCACTTTATATGGAAATTAATACCAGGATGTATGAGGAAAAAAGAAAATAACAAAGAAAAAGTCTGATAATTATATTCATGTGTGAAATGTATCTAAAAACTTGACAATTTCTAATTGTTGTGGTACTTTTATTAGTTATATTTCCCACTTTCAGCATCTAGTTTTAGGAGCAAAGAAATGGATTAAGAAAGGAGGAGGAAGATGATGAAGATAATACAGGTTCAAATTATAGGGAAATAGGAAAGTATAAGGTATAGGGAATTAAAAAGTGTCATGAGTAACAGTAAGTGGGTAAATAAGTTAAGTAAGGTATTGATGAAATTGCCAGTTCTTCTAAAAGACAGAGAAAATCATAGTGGTTAGGGGTCTACTTTAAAGTATTTTTACTTTATTTTAAAAATTTTGAATTAGAAGTGGGGAAAGTTAAAAATAAAGACAGGAATTTGTAAGGGGATAAAATAAAGGGGACAAAATAACTTAAGTTGGGAGTTTGTACCACATGGATCACTAAATGAGTCAGTCAAGAATCATGGATAGGTTCTGATGTATTTTATGTCTCTCTAGTACTTGGTTCAACCTTAAAATCCCGGAGGATGCCCAGGTGAATGCATTTTATGGCGTTTTTCAGGGGTATTTTCACTGAAAATGGCACCAAAATCATGGGTTTTAGTAATGAGGGAAGGCTACTTAGAATACAATTAAAAAGTTAAGATGCTATAACATGACTTATTTAGCAAGTGTAGAAAAATTCTAAGAAGCAATTTATAGTTCAGTATTCATTTAAAAATATTTTAATTGTAATTGAAACATAAGTAGCATTGGCTTTTTATTTGAAATTGATCACATTCCATGTAGTATGCATATTAAATGTTACCTATGTGTGAGGTCTGAGAAATAGACAGTATATTGAATTCTTGAGCCTAAAATTTATCATGGTCAGTGTTGAGAAATTTAAAAACTTTATTTTAAAGACTGTCTTTTGCTGAAGAGTATGGATATAGCTGCCTTGTTTACTTAAAGTTTGCTGTAATTCAGTATTAGATAATATAATAATATAGGATATTGAGTTTAATTCAATTTCTGAATTGTAGTTTTAAAATGAGTCCACAGGCTGAACATTTTCCCTTTATCAGATTCATTCCTTCTCTGGCATCATTGTTTATAAATAAGGAGCTTACTAACTCAGCATTTGAATATAACTTGTCAAAACAGGTTTGTCAGGAATTCTAAAAATTTAAGGTGTTAAAAACCAAGTTTATCAGGTAGATTTGAGCACTGGCAATAATCAACCTCTATGAAGTAGAATTAACCAATATATTGAAAGTTAAGGTCATTTTGTCCTTTTACACATAAAATCATTTTGATAGAATTTGTTCATAAATGAGTTAGAAACTTCTTTCAGTGTACTTACTTTTGTTTCTTTTTAAATGTTTTAATTCTTTTTAATTATACATGACAGTAGAATATATTTTATATCAAACATACATGGGGTATTAATTCCCTTTTTGTGGTTATACATGATGGAATTACACTAGTCATGTATTCATATATAAACATAGGAAAAATATACTTACTTACTTAACCTTTTATATGGATTCAGGGTGGTTAGGAACATCAGTTATACTGAATGGCTCCAGTCTGCTCTTTTGTTTATGGTTCTGTGGCGAGTATTGTTTCTTTCCTTTTAATTTACCAGTTTTTAGCAGTTCCACACATTTTTTAAAAATATTAATTTTTTAAAAATTTGTAGATGGACACAATGCCATTGTTTTATTTATTTATTTTTATGTAGTGCTGAGGATCAAACCCAATGCTTCACACATGCTAGGCAAGTGCACTACCACTGAGCTACAACTCCAGCCCAAGTTCCATACTTTTTTAATGGTAGTGGGCTCTGACCTAATATGCTAATGGTGGCTTCATACCTGTATCACAATTAAATGCATGGAGCTTGCTTCCAGCTACTTTGTTTTCGCTCTGAGGCTCCTTTCTGCTTATTTTTGGGTTTGTTGCTGTCATATAGTTTGTGAGGAAGGAAAAGGAACTTTAGAATTGAACTTGCAAAAATTTATGTAATATGTTTGCTTTGATATATTTATATATAAATGTTTATTTTCATAGAAATTGTTTCAGGATTGAGTTACTTGTCCTTCTCTAATATTACCAAGTATCTAACACTTATAAAGTATGGGAAAGTTTTTGAAAGAGACATTCATGATTATAAAACAAAAGCCCTTCAAAAGGTATTGGACTGTATTTATTTTAGGCAGAGAAATGGTACTCTTCTGATTTTGTCTATTTAAAAAAAATCATTTGGATCTTTAAGATTGTGGTATGTAAGGGCTATTCCAGGATACCACTAGAAATTCATCTCAACCAGGGGAGGCAGCATGCTGTAGGTGAATAACCTCAAAAAAAGTTTTTTTTTTCCCTGTTAGCTTTAGTGTCCTTATATGAAATAGAGGTCATGTTTTACATCTGTGTATATATACATATAAAATGCCCATTCAAAGTATATGTGTATACACAATATTACTTTTATTGAAAAATCTACATTAATTTATTTCTTATTGTGAATCTCATCTTACTTACCAAGTTATTCTTTGTTACTATATTTATGGCATTAGTTGCTATGAGACAGGTAAGCAAGTAAATGATCCATCAGTAAATATATGGTTTTTAAAAATCCAGTTTTTACATTCTTCCCCTCTTTGTAAATCTCATGATGCCTCATCAGTGGAAATTCATGTGCATTCTCTTGAATTATCTCCTAACGTAACTCTTCCATAGAAATCCCTTTACTGATATTTGTTTTTTTTTTTTTTAAATATTTATTTATTTATTAGTTATTGGCGGACACAACATCTTTGTTTGTATGTGGTGCTGAGGATCGAACCCGGGCCGCACGCATGCCAGGCGAGCGCGCTACCTCTTGAGCCACATCCCCAGCCCATCTTTACTGATATTTGATCTTTGCTATAATGTTGACCCTTTCTTCCTCTTCCTTTGATAAGTTGAAAATTCTGAAGGTTTTTGTCAAATTTTTTAATGAAAGAATTTTCATTTTCATTTCTGTTTTAAAAAACAATTCTTAATTCTCTAACACAGTTTTCCCTTCACTTCTGTCTGAGCATCGTGTTTCTTGACATTACCATTCATTAGAGCATTTATTGTGTACTATTTTGAAATTCATTTTCTTTATCTTTTATTCTTTATTTTTCACATCCAATTAGATTACAGGGTTCCAGATGGGTGTGTCTTAAAATTTAACTATCTACACTTATTTATAGCTAATTTCAAGGATATTAGGATGTAATGGCTTTACACATATGACTTAAGTGAACTCTACCTATTACCTTTTCCCCTATCATCTTTAGTTTTCATCCTCTAGGGTTTTCTCCTAGTGCTGGGAATGGAATCTAGGGAATCCTGTATGCTAGGTGAGCCCTCTTAACACTGAGCTGCATCCCATGTTCTTGTCCTCGAGGTTTTAAATGTTACCCTTGATTCTGCCTCACCCTTGATTACATATGATTTGTGTTAATAGGGGCAAAGCTAGTACAGGAAGCCTTCTGTATCCACAGGTTTTGTATCTGTAAATAAATTTTTTTAAATATATGAAAAATATTGTACTGCACATGTACAGTTATTCCCTAAACAATATAGTATAATATATTGTTATATTATACTATATTATAAGTAATAAGTACATGTGCAGTGCAACATATAAAAATATTGAATTGCACATGTACTTATTCCCTAAACAATATAGTATTATAATGATTTGCATAGCATTTACATTGCATTAGATATTATAAGTCATCTAGAGATGATTGGAAATATGTAGGAAGATATGCCTAGATTATATGCAAACACTATGCCATTTTGTGTAAGGAACTTGAGCAGCTGAGGATTTGGTATACTGGGAGAGTGGTCTTGACTACTCCTCATGGATACAGAGGGGCAACTGTATAAATACTATAGTATGAGTAAAGTAAGACAGGTAGAAATAGCTAGACTGATTGTACTAGTAAGAAAGGTACTTGTCAGAAGTGTGGGGCTGTTTTCTTATATATGTTAATAGTATTTATTGGTGCTTTATTCATAGGTTTCAGTATCATACTAAAGTTGGAATGAAAAAGTATGCTTTTATTGTGTGGCCATATACTTCTTAGTGTTAGAGACTGATTTAGAAGTATTCTTTATTTTTTCATTATACCATGTATTAATTTCTGACACTTGCAAATTCCAGGAGTTGTTACAGCAGAAATGTTTAGACATATGCAGAACTCTGAGATAATTCRAAAAATGACTGAAGAATTTGATGAGGTAACATCTTACTTTAAATGTTTTGATAATTTTATACATGTTGATCTTGACTTATTTTCTATATTAATGTTGTTAATATGAGCATTGGCATTAAGCAAGTGATGGCTATGTGACTTTCAACAAGTTACCTTAACAGTTTCATCATGTGTAAAATGGGGCTAATGGTTTTCTTAAGGCTGTTAAAAAATGGAATTGAGTAATGTTTGAAAATTGCATAGCATTTTATAATTCTTGCCACATAGCAAGAATTTAATAAATAGTAGTTATTATTCTTGTAAGAAAATGAAGAATTTAGGGGACGAACATAATGTTTTTTGTTTTTGAATTGGAGATTGAGTCCTGGAATGCTTTAACACAGAGCTACATTCCCAGCCTTTTTTTATTTTTTGAAACAAGTTATCAATAAATTGCTTAGGTTCTTGCTAAGTTACTGATACCATCCTCTGACTTGTGATCCTCCTGCCTCAGACTCCCAAGCTGCTGGGATTAAAGGCATGTGCCACCATGCCCTGTAAGAAAAACATAATCTTGAACATAACATATTCTCAGAATATTGTAAAGGGAAGATTTGGTCAATATTGGATAAACCAGGTAGCTTAGACAAAGAACAATACAGATTGTTTTATTGTTTAAAAACTCCTTTATGTTTAAACTATGTATAATAAGATCAATAAAAAATAATTTAGACTTTTTCATTATCACAATGATCTCTTTAAATATTGTTATACCAATAAATGCATTTGTAGATTTGCTAGAATTTAAGTTGCTTCAGGGCAGGGATTTTTGTTTTCTTCACAGATCAGTTCCAGTACCTGTAGTATTTATGATTTGAAAACATTTTCACTAGCAATTTTCCCATTAAAAATCATGTTTTATTTATTTTATTAAAAATCATTTTATTTAGTCAGCTTCTTTCTTGCTCTCCATAAAGAAGGAGCTTTTTAAAACTATCATTCTAAAAGATAAGACAATTTGGTAAAACGACTTTGATGAACACTAAGTGCTGTTATTAGTTTCCAGTAGTTAAGAAGAAATTATGAATAACTTTTTTTTTTTTTTCGCTGTACTGGTGATTTAACTTGTTATCCTTCTGCCTCAGCCTACCAAGTTGCTGGGAATAAGAGTGCACCACCATGCCCATCAAACGTCAGTGTACTTTAGAGATACATGCATACATCTGTTTAGTGCTACACAGTTGACAGTAGCCAAGTTATTGAATCAGTGTAGGTATCCATCAACAGATGAATGGATAAAGAAAATGTTGGAGTGTGTTTGTGTGTCTCTCTGTGTGTGTACACACAAAGTTGTTTTGTCCGACCATAAATAAGAATGAAATTAGCTGGGTGCAGTGGCTCAGGAGGCTGAGGCAAGAGGGTCATGAATTCAAAACCAGCCTCTGCAAAAGCAAGGTGCTAAGCAACTCAATGAGACCCTATCTCTAAATAAGTACGAAAGAGGGCTGTGGGATGTGATTCAGTGGTTGAGTGCATATCTAAGTTTAATCCTCAGTACCAAAGGAAAAAAAAGAAGAAAAATGAAATTGTGTCATTTATCAGAAAGTGTATTGAACTGGGGACCACAATATCAAGTGAAATAAGTCAGACTTAGAAAAGTATTGTATATTTTCTTTGCTGTGAGGTAGCTAGAAGGGAAAAAAACGGGATAAACGGGGATGCCATGAAAGAAGGAGGGTGACCATTAGTATATAGGGAAGCTATCAGGAAGTGAGATTGACACTTGAATCAATTTAAAAATATAATTTTGTTTTTGCTTCAACAAAATTTAATAAATATCTGTGCCTATGAGAGGAATGTTTGCTGTGATAAAGGAGGATATTTTTAACCTCAGTAATTGGTAATATAATTTCATTGGTGAAAGTGAATTCAGAATACCGGTTTTGTTCTCAAAGGCAGAAGTGTTCAAAAGTACTTGTACCTTTGCATATTATTCTCTTGCTTGCTTTGAGGACTTAGTGGAGAAGTTTAGATAAATGAGTCTTCATGTTTTTGCCCAGTATATTTCAAAAAAAGTTAAATCTTTTCATGCATTTTAAATGAAATTGCTGTTTAAACTCTTTGTTTTAGGATAGTGGAGATTATCCACTTACCATGGCTGGTCCTCAGTGGAAGAAGTTCAAATCCARTTTTTGTGAATTCATTGGTGTACTAGTAAGGCAATGTCAATATAGTATCATATATGATGAGTACATGATGGATACAGTCATTTCACTTCTTACAGGATTGTCTGACTCACAAGTCAGAGCATTTCRACATACAAGCACCCTGGCAGGTCAGTATTTTGAAGTATTTTCTGTGTATTGCCTTAGTTTAGAGATGAAAAAGATTAATAATCTTATTAAAGGGAAAGGAAATGATAGTGACATGAATTAATTTCATTTATTAAGTGATCAATAAGAGAATAGTCTCTCCAAATTGCCCCCTATGAATTACTCTGAATAGATTAGTACTTTCAGTTTTGATCTTTAAAGGTATTTTCTAGCTAATGTATAGTGATTTCTTGTGGTAAGAAGAAACTTGAGGTACTTCTTACTTGTGGTAAGAAGTAACTTGCCTGGTTACTATGCCACAGCATGGAAAAATTATAAAATGGATATGTGTTGGGCTCTATTGGTAGCACATTTGGGGAGAGTGTTATAGTCATTTTGGATACGTAGCCCTGTTGACTCTATCATTTGACTCTGATATGTGTAACCCCACCGGGTAGCATAGCACCCCTATTGAGCAATGCATATTCTTTGAATCATACTACAAAAACGGATGTTTCCTCATGTTTCTGGGTAACAATAAGCCAGGTCAAATACTTTGATCTTTAAATTTTAGTTCAAGGAGTTACATTTTTACATCTCAAATAGTTAAGTGTAGAATAGTGATATTTGGTTTCATGTGAATAAAATCCTATAGTCTCTCCTTTGTACTAAAGTTAAAATTGCTGATATACTGTTATTAAATATATGCTTTTTTATTAGAGTTTGAATAAATCAAATAAGCCTTAGTAATTTTGTTTTATCTTCAAAAACTTTTCTCAGTCTATTTTTTTCTTTAGAATATATTTTTTTCAAAGAATTAAAGCTATTAAGGATGTATTTCTGTATGTCCTGTTATTAAAAATAAAATGTGTATAATTTCCTATAGAGTTTTGTTTTTGTTTTTAGATTTGAGGTCACAAAATATGAATATGGTTATCATGTTTTAGGGTGTATTCAATGTCAAGAATGTAATGGCTAAAGTAAATTAAAGCAAGTATGATGAATAATTTTAGATCTGAGTGACAATACTGGTTTGCTGAGGTTGTGAAATAGTTTATAGCATAAAATTGGAAACTCCCTTTAGAGAGCCAATAGCCACAAATGGAAGATAGTTTTGCTGCTATATCATGCAATTTGTCAAATGTGAGAAATAGTCTGGAGTGAGCTTAAAAAGGCATAAATTGATCAGATCTTTCAGGTTTTAGTAATAAAAGAGTAGAATCTGGAGAAAATTTTATGAGTAAGTATATATTCAGTGACATTGATTTTTGTTATTTTACGTAGATCTCTGTATAATTTCATCATTGTCTTTGTGGTGATATGTAATGGAGTAAAAGTAATCAAAACAAATATTGATAAAACTCTTGTAACATTTTTGTGCTATGTAATATGTAATAAAGCAATCAGGCTACCTTTGGTTACTGAGATAGCTAAATGACTTCTATAAGAACTAAAATTTATTTAAAACGATCTCTGAAAAAAAGATCATTGTAGGGCATGTAATATAAAATAAGGGACTTAAGCATAGTCTGGAGTCAGATTATATTGCTTTGAATCCTGGATTAAGTATTTATATGAACTGTATAATCTGAAGCAAGTTTGTTAATCTCCTTGTACTTCAGTTTCCTTAGCCCTTACCTTTGAGGGAAGTTAGGAGGATTAGGATATAATCCATGAAAAATACTTGGCATAATAAGCAATTTACAGACATATAGTAGGTATTCCATACAGTCTTAGCTGTTGATTTATTGTTGTTGTCATTTGTAGCAGCTGTATTTTTCCTTTCTGTCAGATGCAGAGCATCCCATCTCTGCCTAATTTGATCTTAAATTGTACATTTTTGCATCTGTTAGACTAATTTCAACATTTTACCCTTTTAAAAATAGCTATGAAGTTGATGACAGCTTTGGTAAACGTGRCATTAAATCTTAGCATCAATATGGATAATACACAAAGACAATATGAGGCAGAACGGAATAAAATGATTGGAAAATCAGCCAATGAGAGGCTAGAACTCCTGCTACAAAAGCGAAAAGAGGTAAATATTTAAATTGAGTATTAGACTATTAATGTGTGACCAGTTTGGTCACCATTAATTATTATTTGCTAAGTCTCAAATAATTTGTTTGAAAGATTTATATATTTCCTTCCTTACTTATTTTGGTGCTAGGGATTGAACCCAGGGCCTTGTGCCTGCTAATAAACATGTACTTTAACTGTTGAGATATATTGCTCCAATTCCATGAAAGATTTAATTTTAAATAGCATTTCAAATTGTTTATGCATCTAACTTAAAATTTTGTTGAATATTCATACTAACAATACTTTGTTGTTTATTTTCAATCTGTGTGGACTAGTATTGTTTTATGATTTAAATAAGGTAATCTGGGTCAGTCTGGAAAGCCTTAGTGTAGTGTTCATGTTTACTGTGATAGTCTCTCTCTTACCGTCCTCAGATTGTGTCAGGGTGATATGAGGTTTCACAATTACATGGAATCACTTTGAAAAATTACTTACAAGCTATTTATTAGCATCTGAACTGAATCACTATTTTTTGTACAATGGGAGATACTTTTAACATTGCCCACCAAATTCAGCTTTGAATAAGAAAAAACATTTTTTAAGCCTTATGCTAAATCATAAGTAATTTTTTTTTTTTTTTTGGTACTGGGGATTGAACCCAGGTGTTCTTTACTACTGCGTCATATCCCTAGCCTTTTTCTTTTTTACCACTGAGCCACATCCGTAGCCTGGTCTTTTCTTTTTAATTTTATTTCACTGCATTGCTGAGGCTGGCCTTGAACTTGTGATCCTCCTGCCTCAGCCTCCTGAGTTACTGGAATTACAGGTGTATACCACCACTAGGCCTTTTCTTTTTTTCCCTAGCCAATCCTGTCTTAACTGTGAAACCAAATTGAAAATGTATGTTAGTAGATCAGATAGCCAAAATTTGATATGTTCTCTGATTATTTTAGGTTATTTTTTCCCTCAAAAATTTATTAGTGATTAAGATTTTAGCCTCCTTATTTTAACCTAATAGCTTTTGTTCTTTGAGCAGGTGCTAGTTAACATGATGCTTCTTTTTCAGACTCTAAAGATGAATGAAAAATTGTTATTATTTTATACTGACATATACATTACATTGTACATGATAGGTAATAATAGGTAACTGCATAACAGTTCTTTACCAAATATTACAAGTCAAAGTCAAATGTTTTCGGAATCAAGGGACCTTAATTACCTGTTATAGCCTTCTTGTTCTTCTTTTTTTTTGTGTGTGTGTGTGTGTGGTTTCATTTGTTTAGTAGAATAAAAATTCAATAAAATCACCAAAGTATTGGAGAAATCGCATTTCTTGGTAGTTCTAACGACTTTTAGATGTACTTTTGGTTGTCTTCTATAACTGAAGAGAGCTAATGTGTTCTTTGTAGCTTCAGGAAAATCAAGATGAAATAGAAAATATGATGAATGCAATATTTAAAGGAGTGTTTGTACATAGATATCGGTAAGTCCAGACTATTTTTAATAAGTAACACTATGTTATTTTTATTCTTTAAGATTGGCTACTTAGTGATTTAGGCAGTAAGAATTAGTGGAAAAAGTATTATACTAAGATCAATGTATACTAAGATCTAAGCTCCATCACTGAGTCATTCTGGGCAAATGATTTAACGCCTGTGAACTCTATGTTTCCCATTTTAATAATGGGATAATGATGTGCTTGACTTACAGCTGCCTAGCAAGTGGAAGCTACTGCTATTATTAGGAGTCAGGGTACAAAATACTTAATTGCTTTTGGATGAACTGTGTTAATAGAGACTGCACATGCTGACTTCTGACTCTGTTCTGTTACATTTGAATATCAGTGGGAAAATTTGAGTAGATTAAAACAAGATTTTTTTCCCTATTTTGAATTAGCAGAGGAATGAAATAGGTGATCTTACACAATTTCTCCTCATAATGCACTCAAGTTATTCATTTCCTTACCTTGGCAGTTAGTGAATGAGCTTAATGCTTGCCTTGTAATGTCCCCATGTTCACACTTGCCTTTTATTTTTGTGGTCACCATTACTTAGTCTATTTCCTCTACCCACTCATGCTTAAGAGATTCTTGCACTTTTCCTAAGACATCCTTTTATTGTGTTATTTCTCTGCCTTCAGTTTCTCTCCAGTACCTACATGATGGATTTTAATTTTTTTAATCTGAGCCATGCATGGCTAAGACCTTTAGTCTTAGCTGCTTATGATCTTGAGGCAGGACAATTACTTGAGTCCAGGAGGCCAAGACCCAGCCTGGGAAACATAGTGAAACTCCATCTCAAAAAAAGAAAGAGAAAGAATAGTCACAGGCTAAAATCATTTATTCTGTTATTTAAATCCAAATTGAGCTTGTTCTCAATGTATGTGTGACTAATTTTCACCTGAGAAATTACAGCCCAGCTAGACTAGTGTGCCTGCTATCTTCTGAACACACTAAGCCAAACAGGTGTGAGCGAAGACTAGGATATGGTACTGTGTAAAAAGTGAGGGTGGAATTTTGTTTGTAGTTGTTTTTAATTTTAAATATTTAGGTGTTCCTAATTCTGCCTTGCCAACTAGACTGACAACTAGTTCTGCTTTTTAAATCCCCTCTAATACTTAAGATGGTGGTATATTTAGTAGATTCTAAATACTGGGCATCTCTTGAATAAGCCATAACTTTTATGGTATAGCAGCACTGATGATGTATCATTTTTCCTTCCATATAGGGATGCAATAGCTGAAATCCGAGCTATATGCATTGAAGAGATTGGCATTTGGATGAAGATGTACAGTGATGCTTTTCTTAATGACAGTTATTTAAAATACGTTGGTTGGACTATGCATGATAAGGTAAGATGTGCCCTATAGACTGCTCATCTGTATATAAGCATTGCTGTCTGCACATTTCTTTTGTGAGTTATTTGCATACGTATACCTTGGGCCACATTCCTATAAGCCACACTACTTTATTCTTTCATATGCTCTATGAAAACTTGGTCTCTATTACATAAAGCCCCCTAGGTTTTTTGAATCCTGGCCACTGATTTAATCTTCAATGTTGAATTATTTTTTTGTGCTGAAATATTACTAGTCTGTAGTTGGTGACGGTAAGAAACAATATCCTATCTTCATTAACTATTTAATCTTAAAACATATGTACTGAGGTTTATTTTTACATTATCTAAGATCAGTTTCTGATGAAATGCTATTGAACTTTAAAGTGGAACACATCACATAGGTATTTAATATTCGGGTTGGAAATTTAGACTTTGAATGTATTTTCTCTTTGTTTCTTTTAGCAAGGTGAAGTAAGGCTCAAATGTCTTACTGCTCTACAAGGGCTTTATTATAACAAAGAGCTTAATTCCAAACTGGAGCTATTTACCAGTCGGTTTAAGGTCAGTATTAAGTATTTTAAAAATTACTTAAAATTTGAAGGTGTTTTTCTTTCTCTTTTAAAAATATTTTAATTTTTTTTTTTTTTTTTGCTTTTTAGGATAGAATTGTGTCTATGACCCTTGACAAAGAATATGATGTTGCAGTACAAGCAATAAAATTACTCACTCTTGTTTTACAGTAAGTATGTGTTTGTCATATATTACTAAAGTACAGATATTGAAATAATACACTAGAGTACTTGTTTCAAATGCATCTAGATCTACATTTTATTAGCTTAAATTATGTGGTTTTATAGCTTTGAAATTTATTTTATTATTAACTGTTTTTTGAGAAGGGGTTTCACTGTGTTGCCCAGGCTGGTCTTGATCTCCAGGGCTCAAGTGATTATTCTGTCTTAGCCTTCCAAGTAGCTGGGACTAAAGGCATGTGGCACTGCACCTGGCTAGAAATTTAATTTCCTCATGTAAAGTTGAGAAAACAAAGCAAAAAGGACCTCTGAAATTCTAACTGAGCTAGGAATTCAAGAGTTCCCATTCTCTAGGTTTATTTGCTTCCTATTTAACTAGTTTTGATGTTCTTGGAAAAAAAAAATGTCAAAGCGTTTGCATATGCTTTTTCTTTTGGTCACATTTTCAGAGTATCAGCATTTACTGAATCTTAATAGAAGATGTTTTTATCTACTGGTAAACAGTCTGAATTGAACATATTATATGTTTTTTTTTAAAAATATATTTATTTATTTTTTAGTTATTGGCAGACACAACATCTTTGTTTGTATGTGGTGCTGAGGATCGAACCCGGGCCGCATGCATGCCAGGCGAGCGTGCTACTGCTTGAGCCACATCCCCAGCCCCACATATTATATGTTAATATGTTATAGTATTACCATTTAAAATATTTTAGAACAGAAAACTTACCATTTTGACCATTTTAAAATACAAGGTTCATGTGGGCAAAGCATTAGCATCAAATGTGTCAATTTCTGCAAATCACAAACCCAGAAATCTAAGAAGAAGCAAGTCAAAAGTTATGGATCAGATCATTGACTGAAAGGAAATACAAATAGAAATATGTGAAAAGAAGTCCAACCATTTAAAGATATGTACATTAAATGATAACTTTTTTTATATCTTTTTGCTAGAGGAAGGTAAAAAATGTTGTTGAGGCTTTATAGAAATAGGCCCTAGTGCATCATTGAAGGGAGCATTAACCAGTTTAAACACGTTGAAGAAAAACTTGACAGTTATGTTTCAAAACTTAAAATGGCCACATTCTCTAATACATCATTGTTTTGTGATAGTATAATTTCTAAAACAATTGAGGTGTTAATAGAGGAAGAATTAAATTATAATATTTGATAACAGCTAATATAAGCACTTTTAGTGCATTGTATCATTTAATACAACAGCCCTGTGGTAGTGGTCATTTATTCCTATTTATGTGAAATGGGTCTTATTACAGAAACTACAAAGAAGCTGTTGTAGATATATTGACTTTTTTTTTTTTTTTTTTTTAAGATTTCACTTGTGTGTGGGGTGTTTGGAGCAGTCCTGACTATTGCTTTTTGTGGGGGGTGGGGTGTACTGGCGATTGAACTTAGGGACACTCAACTGCTGAGCTACATCCCCAGCCCTATTTTGTATTTTATTTAGAGACAGGGTCTGAGTTGCTTAACAGCTCACCATTGCTGAAGCTGACTTTGAACTCAAGATTCTCCTGCCTTAGCCTCCTGAGCCGCTGGGATTATAGGCATATGCCACCTCATCAAACTCTATTGCATTTTTCTTTAATGTTTAGTTGGATTTAAAAATTAAAAATTTGTTATAAAATTATTAAAAGTCTCCTAGAATAAGCAAACTGATTGTACTGTATGTATTTCTATAGCTTCTTTCTGTATGTCTCTGCAGCATGTTACAAACGTCTTTTCTTATTGTTGATTTTTGTTTTCTAGCCATGTATATATCTAATAACTGAACTTTGCAACAAACATACCTTTTCAAAAAGTTAAAGTGAATGATTACTGCAGATTTACAACACTTTAACTGGTTTGATTCAATGTCTTTTTATTGTAAGACAGAAATAGTTTTTCTCACAATAGTTCAGTATTATACATAGAAGAATTAAAATCAAATTGTTTTGAACCTTGAATTTGAACAGCTGACTTTCTTTTTTCTCAAAAAGAAGTAATGTCTAAGCCTTTACTATAGGGGAAAACCAAAAAGTAATAATAGAAAGGAATATATTCTTCAACTGTCTTATGTTTTTAGACTTCTCTCTCTGATGGTAGTCTTATGATTTTTAATTTACATATAATGGTAAAAACCCAGGTTGTTTACCTCATATTACCCTAGAAGCATATTGAGGAGGGAAAGCAGTGCCGGCAGCCAGGATCTCAAATGTCTCCAAAGGGAAGACCCCAACAATTTTTACCTTGGGATATTATGATTTATGGGCCCTTAAAATGAGTGTAATTTACCAAGAATATTTTGTTAAGCTTATTTTGTTCTTTAAAAATAAGTTCAGGAAAACGAGCACTACATTTTAGTGAGATTTTTTCCTGCATTATAGTTGGAATTAAAATTCTTTGGACTAGGTACAGTGGTGCATGCATATAATCCCAGCACCTCAAGAGGCTGAGAGGCAAGAGGATTGGTAGTTCAAAGCCAGCCTGAGCATCATATAAGTTTGATTTTTTTTTAAAAAAATTTAATACAAACTTATAAATTCCAAGTGAATGGATTTTTGCATTGTTATTATGCTTAGAATTATGATATTACTAAGAAATGTGTAACTACTTAATGTTTTTTAGGAGTAGTGAAGAAGTTCTTACTGCAGAAGACTGTGAAAATGTCTATCATCTGGTTTATTCAGCTCACCAGCCAGTAGCAGTAGCAGCTGGAGAATTTCTCTACAAAAAGTAAACTTATATTTATGTAATTCATGTTCTGAAGTATGCTTTTGTAACAATAATTTGTTGTGATATATATACATACACATACACACATATATATACACACACACACATATATTTAGAAGTTAATGTAGATCAAATTGAAACTTTAATACTTTAATATTTCTTTTTTAAATGTTTATATTTTTCAAATTTATTTGAGGGCTAGGGTTGTGGCTCGTGGTAGTGTGCTTGCCTAGTATGTGTGAGGTACTAGGTTTGATCCTCAGCACCATATAAAAATAAATTAAGGTATTGTGTCCATCTACAACTAAAAATGTGTTTTAAAAATTGCTTTTGATTTTTTTTCTCTCCCTCCCTCTTCCCTCTCCTTTTCTCTTTTCCCTCCTTTCTTCTTTCCTTACTTTCTTCCATTCAGGATTGGTCCCAGGGATGCTTTACCACTGAGCTACAACCCCAGTCCTTTTTTATTAATATTGATAAAGGTCTAACTAAATTGTCCAGGCTAACCCTGAACTTGTGATCCTCCTGTCTCAGCCTCCCAGGTCACTGAGATTAAAGTCATGCACCACCTTGCTTTAAAGGGAAGTGTACCCATAACTTTTAGTGGGTAAACTTTTCCATGTGAGGGATTGAACTCTGCCTCAAGCATGCTAGACAAATTCTCTACCACTGAACTTATATTCCCCCAACCCCCTAATGGATATTCTTTTTTTTTTTTAAATATTTATTTTTTAGTTTTCGGCAGACACAACATCTTTGTTTGTATGTGGTGCTGAGGATCGAACCCGGGCCGCACGCATGCCAGGCGAGCGGGCTACCGCTTGAGCCACATCCCCAGCCCCCCTAATGGATATTCTTTAGTTTTACTTAACTGTATTAATAAAGACTGGCTTCTTCCTAATTATTTACTCATATTATCACCTACTTTAGCTTCCAAACAGTATTTAGTATTAACCTAACTTTTCCTTTGCTTGAGGAAATCTTAAATGTTGTACTTCAATTACTAAATATAGTTTGAGGTAAGGCTCCCAAGAATCTTGTGGTCTCTTTAATGATGTTCTTTATCATTTCAGATTAGGTAGTATAAATAGTAGTGTGACTATCTGATCATAGCAAATGTTATATAATGGGGCTTTTGAAGAGAACATTTTGAACTATACAGACTAATTTTTTTGTAAGATTTTTTATTAAAATGCCTATTTGGGGTGCAGCATTTATTAGAAAGAATAGTTAGTATAAAACATCCACTGTACAATTTTCTTTAATTGTTATCCAGTGTTCTATTTTGTTGTTTCAGAGGAGAAACAGCCACAGTATCCATAGGAAAAGGCCACTTAGTTGGGATAATGTCGTAAAAAGAATAGAAGGAAATAATACATTCAGGTTTAAAGAAAAATGTATATCTTTGGGGGTGGGGTGTACCAGGGATTGAACTCAGGGGCACTCCACCATTGAGCCACATCCCCAGCCCTGTTTTGTATTTTATTTAGAGACAGGATCTCACTGAATTGCTTAGGGCCTTGCTAAGTTGCTGAGGCTGGCTTTGAATTTGCCATCTTTCTGCCTCAGCCTCCCGATCTGCTGGGATTACAGGCGTGTGCCACTGCACCTGGCTATATCATATATTTTTGTGCCTAAATTTTTAGGTTAGTCATTGTATTCCTTTTTTTTATTATATTTTTGTGATGCTGTGTTAGGCCCAGACCCTTGAGCCTACCACTTAACTTTGCTCCCAGTTCAGTGCATTCCTTCCTTCCTTCCTTCCTTCCTTCCTTCCTTCCTTCCTTCCTTCCTTCCTTTCTTTCTTTTTTTTGAAATGTTATTGGTTCTTAGTTATATATGATAGTAGAATCGATTTTGATACAGTTAAACACGTAATGGAACATATCTTATTCTAATTCAGACCCCAGTACCTCTCCTTCCCCTTCCCTCTCCCCTCTCCCCATACCCCACCACCTGCTGCCTTCTAAGGAAACAGTTGGACAAAGTGCCATAAGGTTTTTTTTTTTTTTAAATATATATTTTAGTTGTAGATGAACACAATCCCTTTATTTTGTTTATTTAGTTTTTTATGTGGTGCTAGGGAGTGAACCTAGTGTCTCATACATGCTAAACAAGTGCTCTACCACTGAACCACAACCCCAGCCCATAACTTTTTAAAAACATTAAAAAATTTTTTTAGTTGTAGATGGATACAATACCCTTAGTTTATTTATTTATGTGGTGCTGAAGATCAAACCCAGTGCCCCACGCATGTGAGGCAAGCCCTCTATCACTGAGCCTTAATCTTAGTCCGCCATAAGGTTTTTGAAAACAAATAATTTATAACAGTATAATTAACTTGAGAAGCTAGTTTAAAAAGAGTGGAATGAAAAAGGTTTATAGTGATTATTTGCTTGAGTTTTTGATGTTGGACAATATCGTGCCTACCCAGCTCCCCAAAATTCCTTTGTTAGATGCTCTAATATGGAATCCAGTTAATATTTTTAAAAAATATTTTTTGTAGATGTAAATGGACAGAATGCCTTTGTTTTATTTGTTTATTTTTATGTGGTGCTGAGGATCGAACCCAGTGCCTCACACATGCTAGGCAAGTGCTCTGCTGCTGAGCTACAGCCCCAGGCTGGAATCCAGTTAATATTTTTGAATAGCAAATGTGTTTTGTTGTTGTTTTGTATTAGTTGTAGACGGACATAATGCCTTCATTTTATTTATTTATTTTTATGCGGTGCTGAGGATCAAACTCAGTGCCTCACAAATTCTAGGCAAACACTCTACCACTGAGCTATACCCCAACCCCTGTTTTTTTGTTTTGAAATGAGTATTTTATCATTGTTGTTGTTTGTAGGCTCTTCAGTCGTAGAGATCCAGAGGAGGATGGAATGATGAAAAGAAGAGGAAGACAAGGCCCAAATGCCAATCTTGTTAAGACATTGGTATTTTTCTTTCTGGAAAGTGAGGTAAGTTTATATTATCCATGTTCATATTTGAACATATTTATGTTCAGAGAATTTTTCAGAAGGCATTAAAATTATATGCTTTTTTCTTGGTACTGGGAATTGAACTCTGGGGTACTCAACCACTGAGCCACATCCCCAGCCGTATTTTGTATTTTATTTAGAGACAGGGTCTCACTGAGTTGCTTAGTGCCTCACTAAGTTGCTGAGGCTGGCTTTGAACTAGTGTTTCTCCTGTCTCAGCCTCTCAAGCTGCTAGGATTATGGTGTGCACTACCGTGCCTGGCTAAACTTATATACTTACTAAATACTCCATGTAATAATTAATTTTTACTATAACAGAGATCTCCATAACCTTTTATACTGTGGATTTAATCCAGGCATACTTTACCACTGAGCTACATCCCCTTGATTTTTTTGATTTTTTAGTTGTCAATGGATCTTTATTTATTTATATGCAGTGCTGAGAATGGAACCCAGTGCCTTGCACATGCTAGGCAGGCGCTCCACCACTGAGCGACCACCCCAACCCCTGGCTTTGAAATTTTGATCCTCCTGTCTCAGTCTCCTGAGTTGCTGGGATTACAGGTGTTCTCCACCATGCCTGGCTTACACAAACTTTTAGAAAAATAGTTTTATTTTTAGTAAGATGTTCAAATAATAGGATTTATATGGAACATAAATTTTTGAGTAAAAAAGTTGTGATTATCAGTTAACCACCTCTGCTTGCTATTTGTGTAACATTCATTTGGTTATTTAGTCTTTCTGAGCTTCAGTTTCCTAATAAAAAGGTAGTTAATAATCTCTCAGTTAACATTGAGATAATCCATATAAAGCACAGTCCTAGCACATTGTAAGTTCTCGCATGTTAATACTTGATATTAATAATATTGTAGATTTGGGTTTACATCAGTCTATCTTAAGTTGAAAATCTACCTGATAAATTTTTTTGAGAGGACTCAATTAATTTTTGGTGTTCATGTAATGAATTATGTAGTTTTATGGCCTTTTAATTTTCTAGTTGTTTCTGCATATAGATGGTATTTGAATATTGACAACTTTGCTAAATATACATACTTTAGTAATGTTAAAGTAGATTTTTTCAGATTTTCTACAACATATAGTCAGATCACATGCAAAGATAATTTTGATGCTTCCTTTCCAACATCTTTTCCATTTTTCTTTTTTTTGCCTTAATGAATTGGCTAAGACCTCTAATAGTATATTAAGGAAATGTGTTTCTGCTTTTATTGGGAAGATATCCACTATTGAAACATAATTATGTTGTATGTTATAGGTATTATGCAGATATTTATTATGAATTTGAGGGTGTTTCCTTTTATTCCTTTTGTTGCTGAGAGCTTCTAGCATGAATGGATATTGGATTCCGTAAAGTGCCTTTTTTGCATCCTTTGAGACGATTGTTTTACTATTTTGTTATATTGAATGATGTTTTTCAGTGTTGAACCAACCTTGCATTCTCATAGTAAACCCTGCTTGTTCATGATTCTTTTTATATATTGATGTTTTCAGTTTGGCCGTGTTTGAGAATATTTCCAGTATGTTCCTGAAAGATAGTGGTCTATAATTTTTTGAAAATTTATAATCTTGATATATTTTGGTATCACAAATATGCTCGGTCCCTCAAATGATTTGGAAAGCCATAGGGTCTTTTGGGCTCCACAGATGGAAGAGAATTATAATGCTTATTGGACTATTCCCTAAAGACCTATAGGGATACTGCTACATTGGTGTTCATAGCAGCACAATTCACAATAGCTAGACTGTGGAACTGCCCTAGATGCCCTTCAATAGATGAATGGATAAAAAAATGTGGTATTTATACACAATGGAGTATTACTCTGCACTAAAAAATGACAAAATCATGGCATTTGCAGGGAAATGGATGGCATTAGAGCAGATTATGCTAAGTGAAGCTAGCCAATCCCTAAAAAACAAATGCCAAATGTCTTCTTTGATATAAGRAGAGCAACTAAGAACAGAGCAGGGAGGAAGAGCATGAGAAGAAGATTAACATTAAACAGGGATGAGAGGTGGGAGGGAAAGGGAGAGAGAAGGGAAATTGCATGGAAATGGAAGGAGACCCTCATTGTTATACAAAATTACATATAAGAGGAAGTGAGGGGAAAGGGAAAAAAACAAGGAGAGAAATGAATTACAGTAGATGGGGTAGAGAGAGAAGATGGGAGGGGAGGGGAGGGGAGGGGAGGGGGATAGTAGAGGATAGGAAAGGCAACAGAATACAACAGACACTAGTATGGCAATATGTAAAAACGTGGATGTATAACCGATGTGATTCTGCAATCTGTATATGGAGGAAAAATGGGAGTTCATAACCCACTTGAATCAAATGTATGAAATATGTCAAGAATTATGTAATGTTTTGAACGACTAATAATAAAAAAATAAAAAATAAAATTTAGTTGTAGATAAAAAAAACCAATCAATAAATGCAAAAAATATAAATAAATTGAATTGAAAAGTGAAACACACTTTGTTTTGAATAACCATTATCACTCCCATTTAGTGAAAAATCATAGTGTATTTAAGAATTGAGAGGAGTTAACAGATGTAATATTAATTGGTCAAAATACGCAATAAGTATAGTTTTTTTTTTCTTTTTCCCAGTGCTGAGTATTGAACCCAAGGCTTCATGCATGTTAGGCAAGACCTTGTACTACTGAGCTACACTCCCAGTGCACATTCTCTTTTTAAAAAATAGTTTTCTTTTTAATGTTTGTTGTAAAAATGTTTAATCATGTTACCTGACAATGTTAATTTATACATAGCAAGCTAAGGCAGATTCTTCTCTGTTCTTTCTTTTGACCTCAAAAAAATAAATTGCTATTTGAGAGTTTGTGCATGGTGCCACAAAGCTTCCGTTCTTTGGAGTTAAGGCTAGTATGCTATTTGTCTAAGAACACGTTGCTCTTTTTTAATTTTAGTTACATGAGCATGCAGCATAYCTTGTGGATAGCATGTGGGACTGTGCTACTGAGCTGCTGAAAGACTGGGAATGTATGAATAGCTTGTTGCTAGAGGAGCCACTTAGTGGAGAGGAAGGTAAGGATATTTAATTATGGTATTTTTGTTGTCTAGACACTATTGAAAATAGATCTTACTCATTCCATTTCTTTTAGTTTGTTAGTGTTAGAATAATTGATAGAATAGCCTACCTTGTGCATAATTTTATTTTCATATATGTGAATATTAAGCTGTGTTGCAAGATGTAATTGATGTCAATATTTATAATTTTTTGTGTCTGAGTTCATGTTTTGTTTGCTCAGAGATTTCACGTGTTGAGGGATTTGGGAAGGTTTAACTTGTCTTGATCTTTTCTGTGATAAGTAACTGGATTTTCTTTTGTATATCAGGTCAGATTTTGTTCATAGGCAGAAGAAACTGTTACATAAGTTACAAGTGGCATATAGGAATAAGTAGGTTAACTTCTTATTCTTTTTCTTTTTCTTTAGCTCTAACAGATAGACAAGAGAGTGCTTTGATTGAAATAATGCTTTGTACTATTAGACAAGCAGCTGAATGTCATCCTCCTGTAGGAAGAGGGACAGGAAAAAGGGTATGCTAATGTATTTTCAATATTCAAAACTGCATTTCTCTTTTCAGTATCTTTTTAAAAATTCCTATTTTGTCCATGGAACAAAAATTCATGATTCTTACCTTTTATTTTACAAGTTCAAATTTTTTATGTAAGAAACTTAGTTTCTATGCTGGGGCTCAGTAGTAGAGTGCTTGCCTGGTACATGTGAGGTACAGGATTCGATAGATATTGTCCATGCCTACAACTAAAAAAAATATTTTAAAAAAGGATAATTAGTTACTACCTGAGATACCGTGATTGACAGTCATGTTTTCACAACTGAATGTATTGTACCATTTTAAAAGGTGCATGTGTATGTTTTACTTTAATTATTAATTAAAAACAAGAAATTCCTATTTCTTGAGATAAAATTGTAATGCATTAATGCAAAATGTATTTGCAATTTATACCAATAATTCTGCGGGCTTTCAAACTTTAACCATGAGACACAAAAATACATTTCTACATTGTAAAATAGTACACATAAATGTCTGTTTGTCTTTTTTTTTGTGTGTGTGTGTGTGTGTGTGTGTGTGTGTGTGTGTGTTGCTAGAGATTGAACCCAGGGCCTTGTACATGTGAGGTGAGCACTCTACCGACTGAGCTATATCCCCAGCCCAAACGTGTATTTGTGTATAACAAAAACAGAATTTCTTGAAATTATACTGAAATATTCTATGTATTTATATATTTATTATTTTAATCAATTTATTTATTGTTGCTATCATTATTATTTTGGTGTCAGGGATTGAACCAAGGCCTTCTTCATGCTAGGCAAGTACTTTTCATAGTGCTAGACCCCTAGCACTCTGTTTTATAAAAATTAGTTTTATTTGTAAATTACTTGTATCAGCTTACTGTTTTGAATTCATTACCTGTGTGTCATGACCCAAAAGCTAGAAAAAGCTGAAATGATGTACAGTCTCATTATTATATAAGCTCCTATAGTAGATCTCTTTTTGCTAACTAATCTTTATTCCTTCCAAAGGCAGTGTTGGTTAGTCTACTGGGTTATTGATTTTCCCTGTAAGACTTCTCAATTATTTTTAAAAAATATTTTCAGGTTGTTTTTTCCTTATTTTAAATATAATGAGTAAGTTATTCTCTTTTGTATCACTTATAGGGTTAAAGTTTTGTAGCAGTCACTTGTATGTCTATCATTTAAAATATAGTTTTATTGCTTATTTTGTATGTTTTAATTAAAATTTGAGCTCAACAGTTAGTGAGCTTAGAAAGTATTTATAAAAGACTTTGTATTATTTTAGGTGTTGACAGCAAAGGAAAAGAAGACCCAGTTGGATGATAGGACAAAAATCACTGAACTTTTTGCAGTGGCCCTTCCTCAGTTATTAGCAAAAGTAAGTTTGTATTAATATCCTAGTGTTATTATGAAATCACATTTTCTTAAAGTGTCTCAGAGTATTAGAATATTCACAGCATTATTTTGAGGTATTTAACATGATCTTTTTTTATTTCAAAGTATTCTGTAGATGCTGAAAAAGTGACTAACTTGTTGCAGCTGCCTCAGTACTTTGATTTGGAAATATATACCACTGGACGATTAGAAAAGGTAAAGTGTTTTCTCTGTATAAAAAATCCTGTAGAGAAAATTTTAGTTCATCTTAATCATTCTGTTTGTTTATATTTTTTGAATTTTTTTTTATAATACAAAAGCAAGCCTATGTCTTACATGTCTTCTATATATTAGACTGACTAATTACTCTTTGAGAATGGTGCTAAGGAGATTTCCCTTTGCTTCATGTTCATAGCTTTATCTTCGTTCTTATATATTACATGGCTTTATCACTGATCATTTATGGAGATTTGCCATGGGTAATTGGATAATAATATCAAAAGGAGCTAATATTCATCAAGCAGTTTTAATATGTTCCAGGAACTATAGGAAGCTCTTTATATGTAGTAACATTCTCATCCAAGTCCTAAGAGATAGGTAATATTATTCCCATCAAATTTGAGAAAGTAAGTATGAGCATATTAGTGTATTTACTTATCATGACTAGAAAAACACCTGTCCTGTGTTGTAACATTACTATATTTGGATACTTTCACTATTGTGGTATAGTTGTATAGTCACTTTATGCCTATTGTGCATACCTTAGTAGGCATTGCACACATTGGGCATGTGCTCTACTGCTAAGTTATGCTTCCAGACTTATATCTTAATTTTAATGAAAACAATTTTTTTTTTTTTGCAGCATTTGGATGCCTTATTGCGCCAGATAAGAAATATTGTAGAGAAGCACACAGATACAGATGTTTTGGAAGCATGTTCTAAAACTTACCATGCACTCTGTAATGAAGAGTTCACAATCTTCAACAGAGTAGATATTTCAAGAAGTCAACTGATAGATGAATTGGCAGATAAATTTAACCGGCTTCTTGAAGATTTTCTGCAAGAGGTACATCCTATAAGTATTTTGTCAGTTGGGCTCTTTCTCTCCAGCAACCTAATTACTCACCCAAATATTCTTCCTGGTGGTAGTGTAGCAGTATGTTGAAAAGATGTTCAGGCCTTTTAATTTTGTGCCTTATCAGGCTACTATTACCCTTCCGCCAAAATAAGAAAGTGATAAAAATCTGTGACTTGGATTAAGTGGAAGACAAACTTGCATCTTTTCCTTTTGTTTTAAATCAGTGATCTGTTTGGTTACCTGGTTTTAGTTGAATAAAAGGCCATTAGGCAGCTAGGTGTTTATGAAACAGAAAAATAGACTAAGACCAGGTAGTTCAAAATGCAGGGGATTTCTTAGTGTTTTGGTGGTGATGGTGAGAGAGGCCTATATGGTCTTTGATATTGTAGGGTTTTAATTAATCACTGCTGTAACAACTCTTACTTTTGGAGTTTCCTGTGTTTTTCTGTTGTGTTTCCAAAGAGGTATTTAGTGCACTGACACTCAAGTATACTTGTAATTTATTGTCTTTTTTTTCTTGAAATATTTATTCACATTTGTATTTATTTAATTTACTCAAATAAAGTAGAAAGTCCTAATTGTTAATGCCTTTAACCTTTTCCATTTCACTTTAATAAGACTAGTTGTGATTAATGCCGGAAAAATCATATGGACTTTGTAATATCCAGGGTTTTTTTTTTTTTTTGGGGGGGGGGTAATTTCCTGTATTCTTATTTAATCAAACTATTTAGATTTATGTGTGTGTGTGTGTGTGTGTGTGTGTGTGTGTGTGTGTATGTATGTTTAACATTGTAGGCTTATTACATTTTGCTAGTTGGAGAATGTGTAAGTATGTTAATGTATAATAATCACTTTCTTAGTTCAGAATTTCAGTGGCTGTACTCTGGACTTGATATAATTAAGATTAAGACAAGTTAATTTAAAACCAAACAATAGTTTATTTGCAACTTGTCGAAAAACTGAAGTTCAAAAACAGGTCCATATGTTTTTGAGAGACCTGAAATAGAATATAGTAGATTCAGTAGTGTTTACAGAATTTTATGTTTCATGTAGTAAGGCTCATAAAACTTTCCAAAACTTTGGTTACCCTGTCTTGGAAAGTATATTAACAAATGTTGGTATCTAGAAAGAACTAGCATATATAGTGTATATATTCAGAGGGTTGTCCCCCATTTATTTGTGATTGGTCTGATGTAGCTTTCTCAAACACCATGTTTAGTATACCTAGGTTTTACTTATTAGGTGTTGTCCTTTATGATCTCTTGCTTATCATCTTCTGTATTTTTATTTGTTGGCCGAGTATATTTAATACTGTGAAGTAGTAGATATCTTCATAGTTTTATGTCAACATTACTTAATGGAAAAATGGAAGAAGAATGTTATTCCTTTTTCTGCTCTAATGATCATAGTGTTCCAGTGATAATAACCTTGTGTTGACACAGTACCCCTGCCATTATAGCCTTAAATTTGCCCAGATCTAGGTATTAAATGATGAGGGTAATTTGTGGTTTTTATTTTTATTGTTATTTTTTAATTTTTTCGATGTTAGTGGACCTTTATTTTATTCAATTATTTATATGTGGTGCTGAGAATCAAAGCCAATGCCTCACACATGCTGGGCAAGTACTCTACCATTGAGCCAAAACCCCAGCCCCTTATTATTTTTTTTAAAGGTGGTATCACTACTTTGATAATATAGGATTTATTTTTTCACTTTGATGCTTCTTAATATATAATTCATATTCATAGGGGGAAGAGCCTGATGAAGATGATGCATATCAGGTATTGTCAACATTGAAGAGGATTACTGCTTTTCATAAGTAAGTTGAATCTTTAAGTTCATTATTTCTTTAGACTGTAGCAAAATCAACTTGCATGTTTTGTAAGTAAAAATTCAAATTATTTGCTAGACTGCTTTGCAGAAGAAAGTCATGTTTGCAATGGGGTATGACTGAAAAATTATCTAACACTTCTTTAAAAAGTACACCTTTATTTTTTGTTGTAGGAGCATGTTAAAATATTTTCTATATTTACTTTTGTAGCATTAGGTAATACTCAATTCCAAAACAGTTGTGATTAGTCTTTGTTTTTTAATATAATTTAATTCTGTCTTTTTTTGCAGTGCTCATGATCTTTCAAAGTGGGATTTGTTTGCTTGTAATTACAAACTCTTGAAAACCGGAATTGAAAATGGAGATATGCCTGAGTAGATTGTTATTCATGCAATTCAGTGTACACACTATGTAATCCTCTGGCAGCTTGCTAAGATTACGGAAAGTAGCTCTACAAAGGTTTGTGGTGGTTCAACAGTGTTTTTATTAGATTAAGTATCATTCCTGAATGATGCTTAATTTTCAGCAAACTTACACCTTTAATAAGGCTAGTTATCTCAACGAAATCTTGTTTATTTCTTTTCTGCTATGTATGAATGTTTATCTTTAAAAAGCCGTCCTGTTTCTAATTTGATGTATACCTAATGAGAGATTATTAAATATTGTTTGTTTCAAGGTATGATTTTTAATTAAAATAAGTGTTCACATGTGATGGTAGCATAATTTTTGAATTCTCATTATTGATGAGTATATGTAGAAAGATAATATTTTTTAAGTAATGACCAAGAACCTTTGAGAGGAACAGATAAGGCTATTGGATTATATAAATTAAAGATGATAAGCTAGCTTCCCTGGATTGTCTTATGCTTTTGTTTTATTTTGGTATCACCTTATTCATGTAAAAGATATCACTAGTGATATTCCAAATTCATGAAAAATTATTTTATGATTGAGGATAATGTACCAGGTATTAGGTCATAAAGCTTTTAAAACTTTACCCATAGGCAATCGATGGTGTGTCTAGTAATTGAACTACTAACCAGGGCCACATTTTCCATTTGTAAGCTGAAACCTTAAATATTGTACTCATAGTCGACGATGGTGCCTTACATATTATTTGGGCTCATTTCTTTAAACATTAAGCAGTTTCTGGGAGTTATATATTTAGTTGTTAATAGATATTTCCTTTAAAAAGGAATCCTCTTGATATTGATAATTTTCTTTTTTGCTTAAATCCACACAATAATGTGAAATGCTTAGTTTCTTCATGTATTTAAGATGCTATTATATCACGAGTGGATTTTCATTCTTGAAAAACAAATATAGTATTATTGGTAAAATAGTGTACTTTTGGTCAAATACCTGGGAAAAGTCTATTTAGTTAGATATCAAACTTATAGTGGGTAGTAATCATATTAGTATATATTTGATTTCTTTTACATATAGTAAAAGTTAAAAATTAAAATGGAAAAGAGACAGTTCCTTTGAGTAGAGGAAAAGGGTGAGTAGAAAATTATTTATGATGAAGATTGGTGGAGTTTTCACCAAGTGTGATCTCCAAGTTAAATCTATTTTAACTTTATTATATAAACCAAATAAGTACTGATATTCTGTGATTTGGCACGCAGTATCAGAAGATGGACCAAAGGTTGTAACTGAAATAAGTTAATGCAGTCTATCTATATAGAACAATTTTATATTTTAAATAAACTGCCAAATGTTTAGAAATATTGAAAACATAAGAATAAGATTCAACTTTTTAGCTGTATGTTTAAGAGACATCTTAAAGTTTATGATAATACCACAGAACTGATTTTTACCCCCTCTGAGTTTAAAAAAAAAAATGGAAAATGCCATCCCTTTTTAAAGATTTTTTTCCTCATTTTGTATTGATGCATTGTAGTTGTACATACTGATAGGATTTGTTATTATATATTCACACAATATACATCCCTTAAAATTTTTTTTTAGTTGTAGTTGGACAAAATACCTTTATTTTATTTATTTTTATGTGGTGCCGATGATTGAACCCAGTGCCTCACATGTGCTAGAAGAGTGCTCTACCACTGAGCCACAACCCCAGCCCACAATGCCATCCCTTTTTAAAAACTATTTTCTTCCATTCATGTGTTGGCCACTCTTCAATTAATAAAGTGAACATGGAGCTTATATTTTTATTCTTTTTAAGTATCCTGAGATGGTGGCTTTATTATAGGTAACTATATGTAATTATGTAAATTTCCCATTCTAAAGGACCCAGACCACTTAGGATATTATCCATTAATATTATTCATACTTTTAAGGTTGGAATTTGGTGAGATTTCTAAGAAAAATGACACATTTTTTCCTTTCTATTAAAGCTATAAAGTAGAAATTTTCATCAGTTCACAAGTAGAGTTAATGCATGTGGTAATATTTTGTGTGATTTTAAATAGTTTAACAAAATACATGAATTGTTTACACAATGTTTCAAAAATGTTCGTGTTAAATTTTTTCAAGGAGGACTTACTGCGTTTAAAGAAACAGATGAGGGTATTTTGTCAGATATGTCAGCATTACCTAACCAACGTAAATACTACTGTTAAGGAACAGGTTAGTATTTGCTATAGATCTTTCTTAAACAACCTTTATACAATCTGAAATAATGTAAAAAAACTTAAGTAATACTAAGATTAACCAAAGTAGAACTATCTAGAGTCTTCTTGAGTATATAATGCCTTTAAAAAGCAGATTAATTTTGAGCTTGCAACTAATAAAATTGAGTTATTAATGTTTACATGGATTTTTTAATTGCATTATAGATTACCTTCATATGGCAGTTGCTCTATGATGTTTCTTTATGGCACATGGTAAACACTCATTTATATAAATTATAGGTGTATGAAATTATAGAAATAATTCTTGAAAACAACAAGTTTAACAAGTTTCCCTCATAGAGGAAAAGTCCATTAGGTTTTGTCATCCCTGAGAATATCAGATGTTGACATTTTTATGCCCATCCTGACATCAGTGTGGTCATTGTCTGAAATAAAAAAAAAATTAAATATGTTATTGAACTTTTATTTTATTCATTTATTTATATGTAGAGCTGAGAATCGAACCCAGTGCCTCACACATGCTAGGCAAGCGTTCTGCCACTGAGCCACATCCCTAGCCCTAAAATAAAAATTTTTAATTGCAATACCTTTCTTCTCAGTATTTCCTTCTCACCCTGTGCCTTCATGGTTTCATTACCTCCAGCCTTCTGAACTCTGGAAATAGACCTGGTTTGATCTTAGGTCTAAGATCATGTTTATTTTTAATTCCCTAATAGGATAAAACTTCATTGAAAACGTGCTTTTTTTCTTTTTTCTTCTTTTGGGTACTAGGAAATTAACTCAGGGGCGCTGGACCACTGAGGCATATCCCCAGCCCTATTTTGTATTTTATTTAGAGACAGGGTCTCATTGAGTTGCTTAATGCCTCACTTTTGCTGAGGCTGGCTTTGAGCTCATGATCCTCCTGCCTCAGCCTCCCAAGCTGCTGGGATTATAAGCATGCCCTGAAGGAACATGCTTTTTAAAATATTTTATTAGATAAATGTTTCATAAATGTTTCTTAAGAACTATTAATATTTTTATTTTTTTTATATATTTTTTTTAAGAGAGAGTGAGAGAGGAGAGAGAGAGAGAGAGAGAGAGAATTTTTAATATTTATTTTTTAGTTCTCGGCGGACACAACATCTTTGTTGGTATGTGGTGCTGAGGATCGAACCCGGGCCGCACGCATGCCAGGCGAGCGCGCTACCGCTGAGCCACATCCCCAGCCCCTATTAATATTTTTAAACAAAATACTTTATTACCAAAATACCAAAATTACTAAAATACCAAAATACTTTATTACCATGTGTAAATTACTACTGTAGTAGTAAGATGACAAGATACTGAATGAAGGGGTAAAAGCTTAAAGAAAAATTAAATGTGGTTAATTTCAGTAAAACAAAATATTAATATCTGCTTTGTGCCCTGTATTATAACTTGTCTTTCCATCTGTAGTCTTAATTTAAAATGCATTTGCTAGTTGACTTTGTGACCCAGAAGTTCTGTTTTCCCTTTCCCAATATATACTTTTTTTGCAGTTACATTTTGAGTAATTTTACCAGTGTTTGATTTCATTTGGCAGAGTTTTTATTAAGTTCCTTGATATAACTCATCCTTTGTTTATTAAATGATACTCTTAGAATTATCTGATGTGTAATACCTCCTTATATACTTTGTAGTTAATCCCCTTTGCATGTGAACAACGAGTGCTTTATCATAGCCATTTTTATCTTTATTCTAGTACTCATTTCCTTAATATGTTATTTTCTCCCATAAAACATAAATTGATACCAAGTTATGTATATTTCATAGTTGAAAATGAATACCCTTAAGCATCTTAGTATAGTACAGAGTATAGGCGATTGGAATCGGAAAACCTTAGGTTAAGTCCTGACTCTTGCATATTGGCAGCTTGTAGAAGCCATTTAATATTGCTAAAATTTTTGTGAAGATAAGATTTGTGAAATTACTTTTTAAGATAATAAAGTATTATGCAAGAATTAGTAGTCGTTGCAGAAATTAAACTTCACAATTTCAATATCTTAGGAAAATACTAAACAATGCTTTTCTTTAAGAGTTTCAAATAAAGTTAAATTTTATTTTGGCTTAAATATATAAGATATTTGTGACTACTGATTAAAAAACCTTAAATTATAACATGATTTCCTTTCTTTTAATAGGCCTTCACTATTCTGTGTGATATTTTGATGATCTTCAGCCATCAGATTATGTCAGGAGGGCGTGATATGTTAGAGCCATTAGTTTACACCCCTGATTCTTCATTGCAATCTGAGTTGCTGAGCTTTATTTTGGATCATGTCTTCATTGAACAGGATGATGATAATAATAGTGCAGGTAATTTTATTGCCATCTTTTTGTTAAGTCTGTTTTCTACTATATATCAAATTTAAGTAGGAATATTGTGCTGTCTTGCACTATGATACATTTTATCCTCAACTCATTACATCAAGTTTTCAATTTTGCAAATACAATGATTATTTCAAAGTTACCATAAGTAGTACATTCCTGTAATCCCGGTGACTTTGGAGACTGAGGCAGGAGCATCACAAAGTTTGAGGCCAGCCTTTACAATTGAGTAAGACCCTGTCTCAAAATATTAAAAAGGCTGGGGATGGGGCTCAGTGGTAGAGAGCCCCTGGGTTCAATACCCAGTACCAAAAAAAATGGTATATTTGTTGCTCTATTTATGTTTTCATAGGTGTTATACATATGGGAGAATGGGACAAAATAGGTAAAGTATGAAACATGGGTATATGATCTAGCACATTATTGTTCTTGCGATATTATAGACAGTGTTGCAGAGTACAGGCTTTCAAATTAGATCTCTGCTTTTCCCTAGCCCTGTTTCTAATCTGTTTCTAATTTGTAGCCACCTCATGGAAATAGGAGGGTTAATTAAAATTGAGCAAAGGTACTAGTATAGTATCTGAGCATATCATAGATGCAGTAATATTTATTCCCTTCCCTCATTCATTGTTAAGCTCAGCGTTCATATAATGTGAGGAGAAACAAATATTTAAGTGACTTTTTATTATGTACTTGTATAACACAGGTTTTTGTTATTTGAGAGTGTTATGTGACATCTAGTTGCTTGAAAAAATGTTAGAAACTGTTTTATAGAAGTCTGGGGCAGTACAGAATTTTCACAGGACAATAATCAAATCAAATTTGCTTAGTGTTAAGTTATTCTTCACACCCTAATTGCATACCAGATGCCTTTCTTGAATGTGAGGTCGTAGAAAAGCAAGTATTTGGTAGATTCTTTCTGGGTTTGTTTTAATTTGAAGTTTCACTTGAAGGAAAATAAAACATCAACACATTGCTCTCCATACATAAACTGACACATCACTGTATGTCACAGTCTAAATAAACATATAATTCTAGACATGGCTTATAGCCTATTTTTTGGCAATGCTGAGCTTTGTACTCACATAGTAAAAACTTAAAACACAATTGAGAAGGCCAGAGTAGTCAAATATTTGTCAAAAGTCTGTGTTGTAAAGGTCATATGCTTTCAGTTTTTCTCCTTTCACACTCAGCCATTGGTTCAGTTAAACTTCAGTTCTTAGTATTTATTTGACAGAGACATTTATTTGTTAGTAGGCAGTATACTATTTGGCATGGATATTAAAGAAATTTAAAAGTGTTTTCCTCCAAAAATTAAATTCAAATGGAAAAGAAATTTAAAAACAAGTAGAAATATTATAATTTGATAAGTAATAAAGGCATGAACAAATTATGGTTCATATAAATGAAGTTTCTGACTGGTCTTCATCTTTGAGAGAACCTAACATCTGAAACCAATCTGAAAAGATAAGTAGGGCTTGTTAATTTGTATGGGAAAACAAGCGTTGCATTATAAAATCTGATGCAAAATAAGTTTTGATATATAGCCCTTTAGTTAATTAGGGACTACCTTGGCTTTATTTAAACCATTATAAATTGAGTAAAAAAGAATAAGCTTGCCAGTTTTCCTAAATTTTCTACGAGTTTCCTAGAATTGATGCCCCTTTGAGTCTTAACTCCTTGGACTTGTTTTTTGTCTGTTTACACTTTTTAAATGAAATGTTTCCAGTCCTTTGGAAAATTATAAAATATTAACAGATTTGTACACATTCATTCATCAGTCTTTGGTTTGAGATTTTTAAAAAAATACAACTTCAAAGTCACTCTCATTCCTCTCTTTCCCAATTGCATTACTCGGCTCTTTTCCTAGAGATAATTACTATCCTAAATTTGGTGCTTATCACACCTGTACTTTTTTTGTGTGTGTGGTTCTGGGGGTTGAACCCAAGGCTCTTGTACATGTGAGGCAAGCACTCTACCAACTGAGCTGTATCCCCAACCCAACACCTATACATTGTAATTTAATTTACTTATTTTTTGAGCAGGAAAGAATAGGATTGACTCCTACAGGGTGAGAGGGGACATACTTGATAAGGCTTGCCCCATTATAATTTTATTTTACTATGTATATAAAAAATGTAAATAAGTTAGTGTTTTTTTTTTCCTTTTTACCTTATAAGTAATTAAAATCTATTCTTAGTGCTAAGAGACTGCAGTGAGTATCACTCAACTGTGGATTTGGAAATGATTCTGTCATTTTGAAAATTAAATGTCAAGTACTTACGTAAGGAACCAGATCAGAAATATGTGAAAGTGTCTTAAAAAGACAGAATACTCCTAGGCTAATCTAACTGAATATATTTAATACATATAAAGGAAGACTTTAAGTAAGATTTGGAGGTGAGGTGGGATGGGATGCTTTTGGAAGTATAAAGAGAATTCTGAGATTGGCTGCCTTCAGGGAAAGAAGGATCTTTAACCAACAGATGTTGAATATGCAGATATCATTGACAAAACATTCTGTTAGGGAAGTATGTGTTAGGCAAGCGTAGTCTGACTTCACTTCTGACTCATTCCATTTGTTCTTATTCCATGTTTACAACCTCCTGATTATTATTTGATCTCACAACAAAGTACTCTACTGGAATAAATTGAGTGGCTATAATTCTTTATTTTAATTTCAATGTATTTTCCTTTTTCAAACTCTCCAATAGAAGAATGAAGATACAGTGTGAGTTAAAAAATATGTGCTTGCAGTAAAATAAAAGGTGGCATAATATTTGGAACTTTTCCCCCCAGATGGTCAGCAGGAGGATGAAGCCAGTAAAATTGAAGCTTTGCACAAGAGAAGAAATKTACTTGCAGCATTTTGTAAGCTAATTGTATATACTGTGGTGGAGATGAATACAGCTGCAGATATCTTCAAACAGTATATGAAGGTAAAGTTGAAAAATGGATGGAAGATAGTTTTTGAATACTTAAAAAGAAATATGACAACACTGGCTTTTATGCTTGAATTGAATTTTTATGCTTGCATTGAATTGTTAAAATTTTCTAGTGTAAAAGAAGTTTATTAAAGAATACTTAACATTATGAAGTTTAAGAGATAAAGCTCTAATTTGTACAAATTTCTTTTCTAGTATTATAATGATTATGGAGATATCATCAAAGAAACAATGAGTAAAACAAGGCAAATAGACAAAATTCAGTGTGCTAAGACTCTTATTCTCAGTTTGCAGCAGGTAAGACATCAAGTGTATCAGCTTTACCTAACATAATTTACCTTACAAAGGTTATACTCTAAACTGGGCAAAGGATGCATTTAGACAGATCTTTGTAGAAATATAAAATTTTATATTCAACCTCACTTGTAGAGAAGAATTGAGAGATCATTTTTTTTTTTGCTTTCCAATTGTGGCATAATTGGCAAAACCCAAAGCTGTCTAAGTTATGGAAGAAATGGGTATGGAAAGCAGTTTATCAGTAAATGTGTATTATATTTCTGCAGTGGCTACTATGTAGCACTTAGAATTAATGTAAATATATTTCTATTAATTTATAAAAATCTTTATAATATGTAGTTCAAGAATAAAACAAAAGATTTAGAAGGGCAGCATCCTTATTAAATGATACATATCTCTTATCTGGAAAAATGATTGCCAAAAATATATTGTAGTTGTCAACTTGCTTGGTAGATTTTGAGTGAATTTTACTTTGTCTTCATGTATTTTCCAACTTATTTTAGTGAGCATATATGAACTATATAACCAAAACAAAAATCGTTTTCGTTTTGACACTGGCAAGGGTAGGCTTCATTAGGCAAAGTTATTTCCTTAGTATACATATGTCTTTAGAGATAAAGTTTGCATGTAAAACATACCCCAATTCAATTTGATACATTTTTTCCTTAGAAATATAGCCATTTTTAAATACAAATATTCTTTGTGAAAATTAATAAAACATACAAGACTTTAAAGATTGCCTTTAAATAACATTTTTATACAAAGTTATCATATGTCCATGTGAGAATATATCACATCGAGTCTCACATTATTTTATTTGTGTGTATATGCATGTTTAAATAAATAATGTAAGGGAGATCAGTAGAGTAGTCAAGCAGATCAGAGGCAAGGAGGGGAAGGGAAGGTACTAGAGAATGAGACTGATCAAATTCTGTTCATGTGCATGTACAAATAAGGAATAATGAGTCACAATGTTATGCATAAATATAATGTACTGATAAAAAATAAGCAATAGTTTTTCCTAAAAAAATAATAGCTGCTTCCTGTAGAAAGTTTAGAAAATATTTTGGTGGGGGCAGGAAGGACTTAACCCCCACTGCCAACTTTATTAATGTATAATTGACAAAAAGTTGTGTATACTTATGACCCACTATGGGAGGTTTTGGTACACAATCAGTGAAGTGATTAAATCTAACTAGTTAATGTATGCATTACCTTGCATACTTTTTTATATTAAGAACATTTAATAGGAGGTGGGTGTGGGGATACATGCCTATAATCCCAGTGGCTCTGGGGGCTAAGGCAGGAAGATTGAAAGTTCAGAACCAGCCTCGAGAACTTAGTGAGGCCCTAAACAACTCCCAAGACCTTGCCTCACAATAAAAAAAGGGCCAGGAACATGGCTCAGTGGTAAAGCACCCCTGGTTTCAGTCCTTGGTGGGGGAAAAAAAAAAGATCCACTGTTAGCAGTTTTCAAGTGTACAAGACTTCTTTGTTTTGGTATTGACAATTAAAACAAAGACCTTGCATGTGCTGGGGAAATGCTCTACCACTGAGCTGCATTCCCAGATAATGACTTATTCTTGACTATACTCACTATGCAGTAGAGTTGACTTCCAAAGTGTACTCATCCTAATTGAAACTTTGTATGCTTTGAGCAACATCTGTGTATTCTTTCTGCTCCCTAGCTCCTGGCAACCATCATTCTACTGTTTGTATGAATTCATCTTGTTTAGGTTCTATGTTTAAGTGAAATCATATGGTATTTGTCTTTCTGTTCCTGGCTTATTTCCCTTAATGTAATGTCCTTCAGATTTACCCATGCTTTTGCAAAGACATAATTTTCTTCTTTTTTGTGGCTCAGTAATATTCTATTGCATGTGTATACATGGCACCATATTTTCTTTATTCATGCACGTATCAGTCGACATTTAGGTTGATTCTGTATCTTGGCTATCATCAATGATGTTTCAGTGAACACAGTTCACATTTCTCTTTGACATACTGATATCATTTTCTTTGCACATATACCTAGAAGTCTTGATTTTTAATAACTGTATAATATTTCATTTTATAGGTGGACAATAATGTAACCAAAAATTTTTTTGTTTGATGTTGAGGTCTTTTACAATTTATGCCACTTATAAATAGCACTAAAACAAACTTTTTTTCTTGGTTCTGGGAGCCTTTTGTTTTGTTTTTTTTAGCCACTGATCCTACATCCCCAGTCCTTTTTATTTTTTTACTGAAACATGGTCTTGCCAAGTTGCTGAAGGTGTCACTAAGGCCAAGTCTGGCCTTGAACTTGGATCTTCCTGTGCCATCCTAATATAATAATACTTTAATAACAGTGTAGCATTTATGAGTCTCTGGGTTTAATCTACAGCACTTGGGGGAAAGAAAAAGTAATAAAAGAGGAAAATTGCCTAATAATTTAGTGTGTTATATTTTTCTTTATATTTTCCCAATTAATACCAGCAGAATAGCATTCTGACAAAACTAAAGTTTCTGACATCAATGTTTACCTCTAGTTTAGATAGATGAGGTGCTACAATTTTGGTCAGCTGTTTCATGTTGTTTGATTAGGGATTTAACCCAGGGGTGCTTTATCACTGAGCTATATCCCCAGACCTTTTATTTTTTAGTTTGAGACAGGGTTTTGCTAAATTGCTGAGGCAAACTTTTAATACTCCTGTCACAGCCTGCCAAGTCACTGGGATTATAGTCATGTACCATCCGTGCCCGCCTAATTGTTACATGTTTTTGAAAATTTGTTTTAGAATTAAATGTTGTACCTCATTTATAGAATACCTATATTGTTTAAATAAAAATATTTCATTTTAAAAATATGTTAATACACAAAAAACTTTAACATACTTTTTTTTCCTTTTCAGCTTTTTAATGAAATGATACAGGAAAATGGMTATAATTTTGATAGATCATCTTCAACATTTAGTTGTATAAAAGAACTTGCTCGGCGTTTTGCTTTAACTTTTGGACTCGATCAGTTGAAAACAAG